CATTTGTTGTTTACAGCTGTAATAGTAAAATGAAGAAAGTTTGATTTTAGATAATGGTTAAAAAAGAATTACTGACTTCTTTTTTCATTATTTTTTATTTTCTCGTTTTTGTCTTATAACTTTTTTTCTGCTTTAATTTTCCTTGTAATTTCTATTTGGCTTAACTTTCTCTTCATTTTTTTCACTTCCTTTTTCTCATTTCTAGTTTCGCAAGAAGAAAATTATTTTATAAACTTCCAAATAATTTAGTAAGTACTTCTTAATTTTATATAATTTTCAAAAAAAAAAATATATATATAAGAAGAAAAAGAAATATTTTTACTTATTTTTCAGCAGTATATTGGTTAACTTCTAAACGATTACAGAAGTTTGGCAGGTTGCCAACAAAAAAAGGAAATGTGGCACAGAATTTCTCTACTGAATAAACGAGTATATTTTATAAAAATCAGTTGTTTTGTTCTACCAACAGAAGAATAGTCTTCCAAAAGATCAATCGAAAATGTAAAAATAACGAAAATAGAGAAAAAAAACTGTCGAACTACTGTAAAACTGATTTCTGCTTAAACTATTCAACAATATCATGCAGTACCTCTCCTTTGCACTTTTCTAAAATGATTTATGTAGAATTACATAGGTTTATTTTGTGCTTAAAATGGTACTAATTTTTATTTCTAAAAGAAAGCAGTCCTGATAAAATTTCGTTTATTTTATTTATTTTTTTTTGACAACAAATTAATTGTTAATAATTTTGCATTTTTCTCTTTTGTTTACGACTGTTTTATTACGATTAATGTTGTTAATCCTATAAGAGCGGGGTCGTTGAGTAAAAGGAAAGGAAAATATTTGTATAAGATAGATTACTTAGTTATCTTTTTTTTTTTTTTTTTGGCAATAATCAATTTAAACAGTTGTAAACAACAGCAGCAGCAGCAGCAACAACAACAATAACAGCAGCAGTAATAATAATCGTTAAAAAAATTATTATCGTTTAAGCTTTTAAACTCTTTATCAGTATACACTTTTTGTAAACATACATTTATGCACTGTATAATATACTATCTCTTAAAAGGGATTTTTTTTTTCTGTTAATACTTAGCTGTTATTTAAGAAAACTTGAAACAGATAAAAATCTGATAGCCAAATTTGAAATGTTCTACTGAAATTTTTAAAGAAGTATTAATTGAAATATGTGGTATAAACAGCAGCGGTTTAACAGCTTAAATAGGGCATTGTTGAATGTCGGTGGTTGTTAAAAGTGCAGGCAAACTAACGTCAAGCATCGGAAAGTTGTGCGCTATTCTAAATCTGATGAAAATGTTTTTAGGCTTAGTAAGTACTTGAACTTCTTTTCCTACTAAAATGTAGAGAAATCAGCTAATATTTTCAGGTTAATTCAAAGTTTTATAGTCATAAATGTAGTTTGCAGCACCAAACTTTTTTCCGTGTTTATCGAGTACTTAACGTCAGACAGTTGATGACCACAAAATTAACTTAATGTAAACAGTGGAGTGAGAGAAGATTTAGGTTTGAAAAGGCTAGAAAATGCGTGGTGTAAAGCCGCATCTTCTTTTTTGTTTTCTAAACCATACTTCTCCATCGTCGGATGAAATAAGGAAAAGGAAAATTTCTTTTGTAGTTTTAAGTTTTTTTTCAGCATCAGCCGTTACTAAAAGACAATTTGAAACGGTGATGTCATTAAAAAATCCAGCAAACAGAATACACCTAACCAAGGTAAAGCTGTTGTGTACCAACTATATTAAAAATATGTACACAGTTACAACAAGCAGAAATTTACATCTTTTTAATCATTTACAATGTACAGATATTATAGCAAAGCAAAGAAAAAACTGATTAATTTTTAAAATTATTTATAGTGAAAACAAAGTTGATAATCTTAGCAAAAATTAATTCATATTTTATACGATATATTATTGCGAATAACGTCTGAAAGAAAATGACAGAGAAAATTTATCTTACAGTTTTGGTGTTTTATTGCTCCAGAATTGTCGCCTATCTCACAAATTAGGGAAGACAATAGTTTAGGTTTTCTGAATGTATTATTGGAAACTAACGTTACGACATAAACTTTTTGTTTCGTGCTTTTTTTTTTTTTGAAAAGAAGGTTTTTTGACTGGAGAAATTTTCTGGTAATACTGTCAACCAAAAAAACTGCTTCTCAAAAAACAGCAATAATCCAAAACAAAGTTGTTTTTGACAACTTTTTCTTACTTTTAAAATTATTAAATATTTACAAAAAAAAAAA